TATGTAGAGTGCATTGCAGTAGTCTATATGGGAGATAACATGGGCATGAGTGACCGTTCGAAAGGCATCCTGATCCAGGAAAGGGCATAACTGATGTACAACCCAAAGTTGTGCAAAGGCACTCCTGGCCACGGCTGCCACCTGCTCTTCGAGCAGGAGCCATGAGTCCAGGAGGACCCCCAGATTACGCACTGGGTCTGTTTGGGGCAGTGCTGCCCCATCCAGCACCAAAGATGACAAAGTCCCAGAGGAGCCATTAACCCACAGCCACTCAGCTGAAGCCTGTTGCTCCCCATCCAGACCCTTACAGCCTCCAGGCACTGCAAAAGGATGGCATAAAACAATCCTTGATATTATAACTTCTCAAATGGGCAGGTTCCTAATCAAAGTATTATTTTGCATTAAGGATGCCTTTGAGTCAGTGTCGACTCCTGGCGACTGCCTGGACTAGTCCCTGCAATTTTCTTGGCAAGATTTCAGAAGTGGTTTGCCCTGGCCTCCTCCTTGCTAGGGCTGAGAGAGGGCAACTGGCCCAAGGTTACTCAGCTGGCTTTGTGCCTGTAGCAGGACTAGAACTCAAAGTCTCCTGGTTTCTAGCCTGGTGCCTTAATCACTGCATCAAACTAATCAAAGCAGAGCATTACTTACTTAACTGTCTTTCATTCCCATATAGGTGAGTCAGGTGTTGAAATTTTCAATTTTATTGTTTTCTCAGAACTTTAAGCAAAGTTTCAATTTGTAGAGATAGGTGAGATAAACATATATGGTTTAGGGCCTGATTATCCACAAGACCCCCTTTTCCAGATGGGTTGTGCTCTAGAGAGTAAATGCTTGCTGAAAGCCCCCACCAATTGTGAAATGTGATGGGAAGGAGCACAATATTGGGCATTTTTGTGTAGAAGACTTCCTGTAGAACACTTGTCCCCCCCCCCAAGGCAAAAGGTGGCTCCAACGCTCGTGGTCTTCAGAAAGTTTGTTAAAACAAGCCTGTTTCAAAAAGTCTTCTAAGATTGTATAATTACCATTGTTGGTAATGATAGACAAATGGTTATTGCTCTTGTCATGAAAATAATAATATAACAATAATATAATACCACCTTATTGTATTATTACATTGCATGTCTTTGTTGTCACTGTGCACCCCTTAAGACCGAAGTCTATATGTGTTTTAAACCATATAAATAAATGATGCCTGCAAAGCAAATTTAAGATTTAAGATAGTTAAGATTGTGTATTGTATATTGTAATTTTAATTGATTTTAACCGTTTTGTAAACCACCCAGAGTCATTTCAACAAGATGGGTGGAGACAAATTTGATAGATAGATAGATAGATAGATAGATAGATAGATAGATAGATAGATAGATAGATAGATAGATAGATAGATAGATAGATAGATAGATAGATAGATAGATAGATAGATAGATAGATAGATAGATAGATAGATAGATAGATAGATAGATAGATAGATAGATAGATAGATAGATAGAGCGAGCTATAAAAAGTACAGTTAAATTTTTTTTAAAAAAAATCCCAGCACTACCCACGAGTCAGGTGAATGTCTGGAGAACAAAAGGCCTTTATTGCACAAAAATATTAGCAACTTCTTCCACTTCTTAGAAGGAGAAGGTAAAAAGAGAAAATATTATTGCTGCTTGGCAACTAGTTTATAGCTGAGGCATGGAATGCATAAACACCACCTAGAAAGCTAGCTGAGAATTAATGGTAGAGATACAGGTCACTTATGCATTTCAATCAGGCCATCTGTTTAGCCTCTGTATGGCACGAGCTCTTGTGTGAATTCTGACCTGAATTTAAACTAGATTCTTAGCTTACTGATTCCTTTTTGTTTGCAGACGTGGGTTGGCAACAAAAGAAGGAAGATGAGCAGTAAAAACGTGGTGGATTCTGGAGGAAGCCCGTCAACAACTGCCACCAGCACTCTGGCTATGCCTCCAGAAGTGGCCGTTCAAAACGTGGTTAGCATAGCCCGTTCCCAGAGCCAGCAGTCATCGTGGACATCCTCGAATAATGACGTCATAGTAACTGGTATATATAATCCAGCGACTTCATCTGGCAGACTGGTATCCAGTAAACAGACTAACTCCTTGATGAGCGACATGCATAAGAATTCTCTTTCAAGGCCGGCTGGGAAAAGTGATCCTGATTTCCAGCGGCAGCACATTGCTGTGACCCGGCAAGCACCCCATTGTAAAAATGCTTCGCTTTTCCTGGGAGAGAAAACTATTATCCTCTCGAGGCAGACAAGCGTGCTGAATTCAGGAAATTCTATTTACAATCACACGAAGAAAAGCTACGGTGGTTCTTCGGTTCAGACGGCGGAATTGGTGTTACCTCAAAAGCCCGTGTTGTGTCACCGGCCCTACAAAATGGACCAGGTGGGGTGCCAAAGGTTGCAGAAGCCGGAGCACCCCATCCTCGCTTCATCCGTGCCATCTGGACAGAGGTCGAACATCAGAGATCCTGCCTGCAGTACCCACAATTTGGAAATCCGAGAGGTTTTTTCTTTGGCTGTGACCGATCAGTCCCTGGGAGGAAGCCGAGAGAAGTCCCTGGCATCTTCAGGAGAAGGCAGTTGCCTGTCTATTGCAATGGAAACTGGGGATGTGGACGACGAATATGCTAGAGAGGAAGAGTTGGCGTCAATGGGTGCCCAGATACAGAATTACTCTAGGTTAAGTGGTGCATCCCTCAGAGTTGAGAATGCAGGATCAGGTTTTTCTGGGTCAGGCAGAAGTGTCAGTTGCAGTTCACACATGCTGAATGCAAGGAACTTGCATGACAATATCCTGTATCATAATAGAGACTACCGCTTGCCTCCACGGACTTCGTTGCATAGCACATCCAGTACACTATATAGCAGTTCTTACCCATCAAGAAGTAATATTTCTTCTCATTTTGCAGCATCCAATCAACTAAGGCTATCTCAAAACCAAAATAATTATCAGGTAATTGCTTTTCTTCCTAAGTTCCAAGGCCTAGGCTTTGAAACATGTAACCTTCGTTTTTTAAATTGTAAATCAAGCACTCTAGCTAGTAAACTACTATGCAGTGAGTTGCTATGTTGTAAGCCATCTTTTTGTTTTATTTATTTATTTGCCATTATAATTTTTGAATACAATAAAAGTATAACCATCTCCATTTGTTTATTCATTAGTTCATTAAAGAAAAGTAGATTTGTTGTTATTAGGTGCATAGACAGCCACCGTCATAATCTTTACAGCATTCCAAATAATTTCCACTCCTATATATCTACCTTGTTTGTCACCGAATATCAATATAGGTTGGAAAATTGGATTTATATACAAAACCACCCCATTTTTCTTAGTTTCCCCTGCTGAAATAAATTCTTCTCCCAAATTCTTGTAAGCAATCTTCTTGGCTGGGAATTCTCAAAATTGTAGCCCCAATATGTATAGAAGACACCAGGTTGGAGAAGTTGCCATAACAAGACAGAGTCAGACTGTGTATTTTCTTGGCATGAACAGTTTTGCACATGAGACTCAAAGAAGCTCTCCCATACAGATTTCTGCCCTCCTTCCGAGAGTAGATACCTCACTCAGACTTAGATTCCATAGCTAGTAAGGAGAAGAGATTTTAGCCTGTTTCCCAAAGTTACATGACTATGATTCTGAAAACTAGGTCTTTTAAAAGCTATATTTCCTATCCTATTTTGTGAAATTAAGATCAATAACAACCTTGCTCTTTGTGGAAAGTCTCATTTTTGAATCCTGAATTTAAAATATAAAGACCAAACTGAACTTTTTAAATATTTTATTATTATAAATTTTGAAAGAATATAAGAAAGAGGTGGTACACATAAGAAAATCAGGTACAGTTAAAGACATATGAGAGGATAAGACACAAATCTGAAACAGAAACTACGCATATTTCTGTGTGGCAGTAATAGTTTGGCATTAGCAGGACCACAGCAGGCTTGAAGATTTTCTGCCTATTCATTTTTTAGAACATGAATAATTTAGTATTCTTTCATAACAAGTTTTACTCACTCAAAAGTAAGCTCAAAACCCCAAATATTTAATTAAGGTCTCCACAACCATTCCCAGCATTCTTTCTTAGCTGGGTGCCTCAGGGAATAAGGGGTTTTCTGTTTTTTCCCCTTTATACGTTTCTTTATAGATGCCCATTTTCCCCCTTTTCCTCTTACGTTGTTGGCTTTTCAGATATTTTATTCCTTTAATACAATTCTGATGACAGCTGAATTTGGAAATGGTAGTTTTGATTGCATCTTGGCTTCATAGTCTGTTTAGAGAAACATTTAAACAGGTTGAAGAATTTTTTTTTTTTTAAAAAAAAACTTAGCTGAGTTCAGAGCCAGGGGCATATTCCAGATCCAATAAATGATGATTTAATTCTATCTGGATCAGGTTCTTTAGAGAAAGGAATGGTTTATGTTCATCTTAAAATAATGCATTCCAGAACAGTTTTTACATTTAAGTCTGCTCTTCAAATAATTACGTATTGCTTTCATCTGTCCATGCAGCCATGCAAATATGCCTTTGTGGTAATTTTTTACTTTCCACAGATTTCAGGAAACCTTACTGTGCCTTGGATTACTGGGTGTTCCAGGAAAAGAGCAGTAAGTAAATCTTGTGAAACTGGACCAACTGCAGATTTAGCTTGTGTGTTTATTTATTATGTATATTTATATACTGCACAGCTCTGAGTAATTCATAATAAATTTTAGCCAACAATGAGAAGTATTCATTATTTTCCAAGGAATGTTGCATGTAATAATTCTGATTTGAGTTGTTTTTAATTTGGAGCCCTGTAAGTTTTTTGATGGATTACTATCAATGCAGGCAGTAGTCAATTAAAGTTATTATTCTCTATGCATTGTGATTATCCTAAAATCCTGTCCATTGATTGTTATGCATCAGTTTAATATTAAGGCTAATTATATCAATTAATGGTTTTCATTGTTGTGTTTCAGTAATGGCATCATCATAATAAAAACTGAAAAGTAAAATCTGCTGGTGAATAATTGTACTAATGAAGTGGTATTATTAAGAGCAACTGGAAAACCTGGAGAGGGTTAAAATAACATGGCAGCCCTCTTGGAAACACAGAATAAATCTTTTAAAAGATGAGCATTGCTGATCCCAAGATTAATGAAGACAGCTTTAATTGTTGGCCCTCAAAGTAAAACCTTCATATTCTCAATTTATAGTCCATTTCAACCAACTATTAAAAACTCTCAACTTAAATTCTGTCTGCTTCTAAATAGTTTTGCTCCTCTTTTTCTTTCCCATTTGTTTAATTTCAAGCAAATGGAGTCAGGGCTGTCAGGCACGGAGCAAAAAGAAAGTACAACAGAAAGCTGTGAATCTTTTAGTTCTGCAATAACCCTAAATCTATCCTAGAGAAAAGTAGTGCATAGAATCCTCTTTTAGTGTTGTTGGTTAACTATCTTACTATTAATTTGTGGGGATGTTAAATAGCCTGAATCTATGCAATTACAAATGCGTTCAAGGCCATTTTAAACCTGTTTGCAGAAGCTGTAATCTAACAAATGGTACCAATTTCTAGACTTTTATATAATCTCCATTTGCACAGGGAAATTATATTCAAATGAGTTTTGCAAAAAGGAAGAATGTAATTTGTCAATGTCTCCAGTTATGTTAGGATAATAAAGTACTAGCTGAGTTGGTTTTGTGACCAGAATAATCTTGGGTGCCATTTTTAAATGACTCATACTGAAAATTGATCCAGAGCAAAGTTTTTTAACACTTTAAACCATGGTATGTAAATGGATCCATAATAAATATAGATGCCCACTAATAAAGGGGTGAGCTTTTCTCTAACATCATTTTGTCTATGGTTGAGTTGGATTACAGCATACTAATCCATCCAGTTCTTGTCAATACAATCAAAATATTTGTGTGAACAAAGCTAAATTTTCATTTTTCATTGTTGGGGGCAGAGCATGGTAGAGTGTGATAATCCTGTTTTTAATATTCTAAGGATCCTTGTGTAAAGATCAAAGATTCAAGTAATCATTGGGTTTTGAACCAACTTTAGGAAGTCGCTTCTGGGAAGCTCACAAGTGAAGTATGAAGCCTTCTCTTCTCTGTCCCAAGACCTTGTATTCTCATTTCTCAGATACTTCATTTAGTTATGTGGGCACAGACATCATAATTTCCTGAGCCTTTTATTAAGTTATCTAGGTTGCTGGACAACACTGCATCTATTGCTCGTGAATTGCAGAAATTATTTACATATCATTTATTGCCTGTCAGGTTCAGTGGCTGATCCTTAGGTACCATGTTATAAAAAGTTTTAAAAAACCAGAATCCTCACTATCCATTTCTTGTACACCAGAGGGGTAAATGGGTGTTTTTTGGTAAATTATTACCCTGGCTGCAGCTGTTTTGTGAATAGGCAGGCCTCACCAAGTTACAGCCATTTTGTCAAAAAAATAGGTGCTTTTGACAATGTTTGCCACCCCAGTGCCACCCCAAACAATATACTCTGTGCTCAGTGTCCACGTGTCTAGATATAGTCTGAATTCATAATCCTTTCAATAGCTGTGACAAGTATCCCAAAAATATTGTCTACCCATGCTCTCTTGCACTTAAAATGATGTAAAGCTTAGTATTAATGCTTCCATAATCACATTGTCTTGAGGTTCCCAAACAGTTATATGGGTCTATCTGCTGTGTCAAAAACACAGTTCAGAGACACATTCTTAAACTGGTGCCAGTCTGTCTGGGGCAGGTTTCAGGTTTTCTGTGCCTGCCTGCCACCTTCTCAGATATTTGTTTGCTATTTGGTGGTGCTAAGCCGAAAGACTTCAACTCTTGGACTAGGACTGGAAACTAGGTCTACTTTTAGATATGATAAAGCCTTTTAGATAGTCGCCATTTCTCAGCCCAACCTACCTGTCAGGGTTGCAGGATTGCTAGGAGTGAGAATAGGAGATGTGAGTTCTCAGAACTTTAGCTATTGAGGAAAGGCAGGAGTTGAGGTTAAACAAAGCAATAACACAGAAGTTAAAAATTAAACCATTGCTAATACAGAAAATAAAAGTCTTCTGTACAATGAAACTGCCGTTCCTGAGCTGTGAAAACTTCAGTAATTTTGTCTGGGTTCCCCACTTGCTGGAAGACATTGTAGGTTGAGTAAGTCACCATTAATAGATTCATACAACATGTTAAGCTAAAACTAAGCAAACCACATTATATTTATTTATTTATTTATTTATTTCATTTTTTCAACTGCCCATCTCCCCCCAATGGGGGGACTCTGGGCGATTCACAACAAACATTAAAAACATAAAATATATAAATACATGAAACCTTAATTAAAAACATTACTAAAAAGAAGAAGGAAAGACCAAGAGGATGAAAAATCTG